TTTAATAGTTTATTTACTACATCATTTACTAAATAATGAACACACAATGGTGTTATATAGATCATAGTCATCTAGAGTGAGCAAATGAATATATATTTGCCTCGGTTTGGATTAGCTTGGCTAAAAAAGTTTTGCGGCTAAGCAAAATAGCTAGCTAAAATGTCCTTTATGGCAGTTGCAGTAGCGAGAATTAGTAGTATTGTTGTGCCATGTCCAATTGTCGATTGAAAAGCTATATAGAGCTATAGCAGGCAATGTAGAAGTTTGTGGGCCCATTTCCCATGTACACCATCAGCTGTGAGTTTTAGTAAGACATTGTAGATTAATTAATACAGTTGCCTAATTTTAAACTCATTTACTGTTGAACAGTGTAGCAGATTTGTTAGAGCAAACGATAGCATATATGTTTGCGGCGGGCGCGGCATATATTGGACTACTTGATGATCTGGCGCGAAGATATTCATTCAGCTGTTTGGTTGCTGTATGGTCCGTTGTTGCTGAAGCCTGCCTTGGGTTGCTGATAAGTGTGTACTCTGTCGTGACTCAGGTTCTTATCGTTGCCCCGCTGCTTGCCATAGTTCTTTCATTGATCAGGCTTGTGGTAAGCCACTATGGCAATGCGGGTGGAGATGCCGCCAATGCAGAGAAGCTCAAGGCATCCCTGCGGATCTTCTACTCTCTTGTTCTGGCGCAGAATGCTCTCTTCTACTTGTGGAAGTGGCTTATCCATACTTGGCCAGATCGTGCGTCAGTTGTGAGAAAGCAATGTGGATTTGGCAACTGGGGTAAAATTTGGGTTTTCAGATACGTTCTAGAAACCAGAAAGATGTGCAGCACACAAGTACAAGTGACCTCGGGCTGGAACTTGATCACCTTTGCCGTCGGCCTGCTCGGCTCCGAATCTCGGGATGATCGCCGTAACGCGATTCGTCTGTTGGACACCTTCAACAACAACGACAACAACAACAAAGCCTTTAAGTCCCAAACAAGTTAGGGTAAACTATCCATTAAAGTGGCTAAGTTTTTACATTGGCTCGCTACGTCTAACACAACCCTCCTCCTTTATCAAGGCTTAGGACCTGCTATGCTGGGACACCAAAGGCGCCCCACCATGGTCTGTTGGACACCTTCGTCGGGAACAAAATACTGGTGGCACCCAAGCTGCTGCCTTGCAAGGTCCCCCTTGAGAACCTTATGCAAACGCTCGAGGTGGGCGACAGCGAGATCAGGGAGCGTGCAGCTAGGGTTGTTGCGGCTCTTGCCGGCGACCTCCGCCACATTGACCAGTTCCCCTCAGCAGTGGATCACATAGCTTCACTGTTTCAACAAGCCTCTAATAAGCAGTTGCCCACAACTGCAGTGACGACGACGAAAAGCATGCAGGGAGTAGGAGGACGAGCAGGCAGGAAGGAACCTTTATTGTGGGCTCGTATACCGGGGCAACCTATCTTTGCTCAACATTTACATCTATAAAACCTTTGAGAATGAGGAGGAAACTGACCTCGAGAGGCTCATCCAGCACCAAGGAAACTGTGTGCACATATGCAACAACCATGTCCTGCTCTCAAAGATCACAGCGCCACTGAACTCATCCAATGCCTTCCTTGACAACGCAGCAGAGGAGTATGACAGTGAGTGGATCGACATACTGAGCAGATCACTGAGGATCTTAGCCAGGCTGATCCGTGCTCCTGGTGAAGCCAACAGAAACCTGCGCAACGAGACCGCAAGCAATACACAGGCCGTCGCTAACCTGACAAGGATTCTAGAGGGTGACAAGTTTGGCCCAGTGCTAAAGGCACCAGCCATCCAGATCCTTGCAGAATTGGCGTCTTCAGACAACAAGACTCTGACGAGCTTGGGCAAAGGTGACAAACACAAGTTCATTTCCCGATTGTGGGGCAACTTCTTTGCAGCTCCACAAAAGGATGGCATTTGTACTGGTGACAACAACAATAGGACTGCCATTGAAGAAGAAGAAGAAGAAGAAGAAGAAGAGACACAGAAAGAGCAGGCTACCAGATTGAGACACGAAGCAGGGGAGGCACTGGTACAGATGCTCCCTGTGCTGGACGCAGGAAGTTCCTCAGATATCCTGCAGATGCTCATCCCAAGTGGTTCTGAGGGTCACGTTGTTGGCCAACTTACCTGCATGCTCATTACAGGCAATAGTAAGGGCTGTCAAACTCAAACCTTGGCCGCAGAAATCCTCAAGTGCTTATGTTCACATTTGACGAATGAGCACAGGCAACTTCCTAGGCAGGATGTGTTCCAGATGTTGACAAAGGTAACCCCATACCCATCTAGATGACTACGTCTTCGTTCCTGCACATTCATTCATTTCAGCTTATCATCTTCAACATATTGTTAACTGATGGTGCATCAGGTTCTTCAACTCATACTATCTATCCAAAGAGAAGAAAGCGATGGCGCTACTGCTGGGGTAGCAGGAGCAGACAGCAATCATGCAGCACAAAACGATGAGGAGAACCCGCGTCCAGCAGAAGACCACGGAGGGAACCCGTCATCATCATCATCATCCAGTAAACATGAAAAGGAATTCGTGGTGGCCCTGTTATCCCTTGCTGTGGCGATATGCGACGGCACGATGGTGAATGCACATGATTTCATCGGTGCTGCCCCTGTCGACATAGTGTTGCTCGTGATAAAGCTTAAGGAGATGATAGAGATAAACAATGACGCCACATTTGAATGCCTGCGAGTAGTGAAGCTTTCCTGCCAACTGGTTGTTTCCATGGTGCAGCTCGAGCCCAGCTCGATCTGTCAAAGTCTGCATAGACCACAGTTTCATGGATGTACTTATGGTTGAAAACGGTCGGGATATATCCCGTTCCGTTCGCCCGATTTCTACATTTAATCCGATCGTTTTCGATTTTCGGACAAAAACGGAATCGCACGGAAAACGGGACACGAAATTTGAAATCGGGACGAAATCGGTTTGGGCCCTATCCCGATCGTTTTCGATATCCCGTGATAACGCAAAGCGGACATTCGAATTTACTTCTTACCCAGTGGAGCGCCCCAGTCAAGAACTCGAGCAGCCAGCGGAGCGCCCAGCCAGCGACTCGAGCAGCCAGTGGCCAGCCACAGCGAAGCGACTCGAGCAACCAGCGGCCAGCCAGCAACTCAAGCAGCCAGCGGCCCAGCCAGCGACTTCGGCCCAGCCAGCAACTCGAGCAGCCAGCGCCCAGCCAGCGACTCGAGCAGCTAGCGGCCCAGCCACAGCCGAAGCGACTCGAGCAGCCAGCGGCTCAGCTAGCAACTTCGAGCAGCCAGCGGCCCAGCCCTCGAGCAACTCGGGAAGTGCTGCTGAAATATAACCTGTTGGCTAGCCCAAATGTCTCTAAATATTTAGACCTGTTGCCTATTTATCAATTGTCATGCTGAATTGGTGATTTGTGTATCAATGTATGTGTACAAGTGAATTGTGCATGACCATGTGTGGTTGTGTCGGACTGTCGGTACCGGACTGTTGGCATGTTGTCATGCTCAACTAGGTTCTACGGGCCGGTGTTTCCATTTTGCTTTTCGTATTCCGACCGTGTTCGACATGTTCTCGACCGAATTAGTTCGTTTTCGTATTGAAATGTAAAAGTGAAAACAATATTGGGGTTATCCCGACCGAGTTCGACCGTCAACCCTCTACTATCCAAATCCTCCAAGGGCTTGTCAGATCTCGATAACTGCCTCATGCTCTTTGATGACAATTATCATCAGGTGACCAAGACTGATAAGCCACTAGCTTCACTTGTGAAGCAAGCACAGGAACTCTTCGACAAAGCACAAGAACAAGGTAATAATGACCCTGCTGCTTAATTAAGAGAAACAAAACCATCTATTATATTGCGGTGTGTATGAACTATATGAAAAAGTACCAAGTCTGTTTGCGGGTCAATCCACTGCTGCGTGAAGTGTGAAACTCGGATTTATATATTAATTGATAGGCCACTGCATATGTTAAACTATTATTAAAGTGTGAATGTGTGATGATGTGTGGCAAGGCTACAATCAAATTGATGTTGCATGCTATAAAAATCGGCCTCTCAGTATTATTTGTTCTGAACGACAATGATATACACATACACTCCAGATTAACAGTGTTGTGTGTATGTGCTCCCGCCGGCAACTGCAGTTGCCCCGCGGCTGTATATGATGTGTTATCTCCCTCGCGTGGATTCCTGCTGCATGGCAAGCAAAATCATAGGTTGCCTTCCCAAATCAGCTTGACTTTCGTAAAAAAAAAAAATCAGCTTGATTGGAGAAGCGTGCATCGCCAAAGCACTGTCATGGACTGGGGCGATGGATCGTGGGCTTCCAGCTGGGCCACGAGAGGGCTTTCCAAGTGCTTCCGTTGGAACAGGAGCAAGACAATAAAGGACCGAAGACGACACGGGAACGGACATCGAAAAGAATATACTGAACTCGACTCGTCTTCCTCCTCTGTCCGACTCCTGTACCTGTTCTTGCTGTCTCCCCCGATTCCTTGCTATTCCCAGTCTAAACTCCCTCTGATTCTTCCCCCAAATTGTATCAGTACTGCTGTAGTTGCGAATTGGTAGTGAAGGTTCATAACAAGCACATGGTTAGAATAAAGATTGTGCACGGGAAGAGCTAGCTAGCAGATCTGTCAAACTTACAACACCAGGCAAATAATCCCACACAAATAGAGGCTGCATTTATATGGAAACAGAAAAGCAATCTATATGGGCAGAGGATGATGCAAATTTATTCTCTACTTCCATTATTAATAGAAGGCCTGGAAATTAAACATACACACAGGAGTCAGTTTATACATATATGAGGAAAGGAAGGGAAACATACAAATCACTCTCAGCAAGCATATATAGTGGCACGCAGACACAGCAGCAAAAAGCATTGCTGCATAAACCAAGCCACTCACCCCATAATGAAACGTGCGGGCGCGATAAAACATAATAAATAAGCCACATGGCAAGGAGGATGGGGGGGATCAACACATTTTACACGGCGTCCATGTCCCTTGGCGTTTGTTCCTGTACACACACACACACACACACACACTAATTCACTCTGGACTCGATCTCTGGAGTATACTCCTCGATCAAGTAGTAGGTAGACGAAGTGCGGATGTTGTGTGAGCATTTCCAGGGGACGGCGGAGGCCTACTCGAGGAAGCGCCATCTTGTAGGGCGCTGTTGCTGGCGTTGTCAAACCAGACCTCTGATGGGTGACCATCATTCACCGGTTGCTTGTTTTTTCCCTAACAAGGTGTTTATAATACCAGTAAATAAATTTATCAGGCCTCAGCAAACTAAAGGTTTATCCATAGGAAATTTTTCATGATTTGCTAGGAACTATCTCTAGTAATTCATCATAGATGATAGATCATAATTGCATATAACAATGAAGAAATATAAACAACACAAGTCACAATGGTGGATCGGAGCATAAGACATATGGGGGCCGAGATGGCGTTAATTATATTAGGGGGGTCTTTGAGCATGGGTGCTAGGAAAGGAAATGAGTTCGGTGGAATTCAGGTTTTAGGTGGAGTTCTATATAGGATGTGTGGACCGGCGTAGGAAGATTTTTTTGCCCGAGAATGGCATGACTCTAGGGCGTCATTTGGATCCATATGAAGAATTTTGACAATAATATAGAAAATTTTACCTTAACCCGTCGAAAAAGGAAAGTTTTCTTTTTATTTTTGCCAAAATTATACACATATTTTGAATAGAACCTTAGCAAATATATTTATGAGTGCAAATAAATAGCCGATATACAGAGAGTAATGCATGGGAAAAAAGAAATGACAAAGCAATAAAGTAGACCGGCCGGGATCTAGTACATACGTACCATGTGATGCGCGAGGTCATTCCAGGAGCGAATCCTAAAGATGTAATCCCACCCCATCTTGCAGTCTTGTGCAGGCGGGTTCAGCTGCCACTTCTGGATGCCGGCATGATAGAGCATCGCCCAGAGATGGGTGATGAGCTCGCCACCTTGCGAGAGGTACTGCATGTGCTCCTCCACGTCGTCCGATGGCGCGGCGTACACCAATGCCTTCACCCAGAAATCTACCAGCAACTTCCACCGATCAGCTGGAGCCATTTCTTTGTTAGTTAGTCCCTTCCCAAGCTTCACACCCAGGGCATAGACCCAGTATCCAACACCCTCAGATGGATTAAGTGTAATATCATCCGTGTTGCAACTGTCCATTGCCCGTAACTTGTCTCCTGTTCCGGTCGTCCAGCTAATCACCACTTCCCTAACTTGAGCGTATACCCATTTTGTAGTCTCGAAGCGGCCAGGGAGTAGGCGCGGTGCTGAAGCCACCAAGTATGCACAGTATTTGGACAGAGCCGTGGCCACGCCACGATCCTTGTTGTCTTCGTCTACAACATGAACTTGGTCGTGCAGTTCACAGTAGCATGTTGCAATGTGCCACATGAGAATACAAGACACGTATATCATCGCATTCCTATCGGTAGCCTCAGACGATGGCTTAACAGCTACCTTGACAGAGAAGTCTGGAAGATGGCAACCTCTTTGTCTATTTTCCTCTTCGGAGGATGCCCAGCCACTCACTTCATCGGACCTCATCTTGTCAAGAATAAAACAACCAATGGATGTTTTCACATCGCAGTGCAGGTCACGGGGACTCCTGGAGCCGCCCTTCAACATTTCCTGGAGCTCTCGTCTTATGTACTGCAGTCCAAGCAGGCCCAAACACCTCTTTACAAGGGACTTTAGATGCGAACAACATTTCCCGATAATTTGCTCCAGGAATAAGCACACCGCCATCATTTGTGTGCAGAAAGGAATACAGCCGCAAAAATTCACCAGAAATCCACAACAGAATATCCGATTGTAGAATACCTGATGGCAGCGGTGGTGACCCAGAAATCCCCAGAAACCCACCATGATGGAACCGGATTCTTCAATCACTGAATGTTGCCCGAGCTTATTTTGCCATAGGTAGTATTTGTCGTCATACCAATTGATCTTGAGAAGATATGCTCTCAGTCTCATTCCCCAGCTCACATCGTCGGCTTTAATTCTCTTTTCTTCTTTTACATTGCTCGCCGTATGATGATTACTTTTGTCCAGAATCTTGCTGACCCAATCACGGGCAAAGGAAACTCTGGACCAATTTGAGGTCCAGCAGCGTAGCATCTGCACCACCTGTAGTAGAGCTAGAGACACCAGTATTACTCCAGTAATAACATAGTCCGCTGTTGTGGTGTTCACAAATATGGTGCCCGCAGGAGCAGCACGGTGGGTCATCCTCATGCCAGGTATGGCGGCCACTGCCCCTACGAAACATATGCCGACAACCGAAGCAAATGCCCAGACGCTAGCATTCTTCGCCTCATAGTAATGGAGGAACGTGTTGCTGGTGTACAAGATGTCGTATAGGAAAGCCAACTCAATCTCAGCCACCTTGTAGGCCCGCTCGTAGTTTTTAATCAAGGGCTTTGTGCTGTCGGCCACCGCTGGTGTAATGCCGCTGCTTAACCCAAGGAAACGCCGGTGCAACAAATGAGACAGAGAGAAGGAGAGGCACACATCCTTGCAGGCATCAAGGGCTGATTCTACAATCTTACTAATGCCTTCTTCGCAACTCATGGAAGCTATATCACCCATGTCAACCTCCCGACGATATCCAATAATTACGTCAAGCTTCCTATCAACAATTAAGTCTTTTTCTTCATCAGCATCTCCAAAAGAACATTTTCTAATCCTATGCGCCGGAATCTCTCTGATCATGTTCCGCATAGAGCTTGGCAGAACAAGTGCCATTGACCTATGAAATCCCTTCATGAAAGTCACGGCAGCTAACACACAGATGGCTACATTACCAATATCGCTAGAGATGGTTGTGATGCTCATTAGCAGGACATATCCAAAGTAGAGACAAAGCTGATACAACATCTTCCAGAGCTGGTTTTTGTTGTCAAGCCCAGACGCAGCAGCTGAGTCGACGCAGCAAAGGAGAGCTAGTAAGGATACCGCCCATATCGGGTACATCTCGCTCTTCACCCGTGAAGATTGCATTAGGCCAATGCTGTATGTCCCGAGGGACAGAAACAATGCATTTGCAGCCAGGAAACCCTTCTGGATGATCCAACTCTTGGACCAACGGCGGCAATACCCAAATGCAGCAAGGAAGAAAGAGAGAGCAATGGCCACCAACGCTAATGCCTCGATTCGGAGCACTGTGCCCCTAGGACTCTTCCACATATCTCTCAGCTGATGCAAAAGGCTTTCTTCTGATGCTGCATTTCCCAAGTGTTGCGGACTCATATTCCCCATTCGGCGGTGGCCCACCTTGGAAGAACAAGTAGATGTGTGTCATAAAAGCTAGGCTTTCTGATTTAGCTACAAATTTTGCTCGGGGAAAAGATTAGACCAATCTCTATAATTGTGTACTCAACCATTGTATTCTAATAAAGAAGACATAAGATCGAAATCGGTGATGCAATGGACTCAAGCCTAGCTATGAGATGACTGGCACACGCCTCCAACAAACTGAGGCTATTCTCAGTTCATAGGTTATGAATTGCTACTCTATGGTTTTGTGATATATAGTTATTATCAGGCTAGTACTGTTTTGCTTCACAGTTTTTTTTACAATATTTAGTTTCTAAATATATAGAAAAATTAATTAACATCACGCTAATGGTTGGAGTTAGAAGTGGACCTGGGAGGCTCCCTCCTCAATGTTAATTACGACTCCAAGACTAAAGTAAATATAATACTTCGTGAATGCCCACTTTTCATAGCTAATAAACTAGGAAAAAGTCTACTTAATCCTCCAACTTATTTGTAGTTATCTACTTCATCGCTTCACCAGTAAAACCATGTCTACCCCTTAAACTATTGAAAGCCGTCTAAATAACCGTCTAAGGCGGTTTTGAAAGTGGTTTTGTTGGTGCGGCATATGAAGAAGTCTACATGTCATCCTTAAACTATTGAAAAGTCTCCTACTCTACCTCACTGCACTCGACGAGGGCATTGAGCTCATGCACTGCGCCTACACCCTTCGTCATCTGGCCCCTCCCACATCTCGGCCTTGATCATTTTCTCCTCCTGTGGCTACCTAAAAAACTGAATGACAACCAAATGGAGGACGTGGGAGGGGCTGGATGACGAGGTTGCAGACGTGGTGCTTGAGCTCAATGGCATTGATGAGTGCTGGGAGGTAGAGCAGGAGACAAGATGTCACATGCTACTTGTTGGGCAGTGGGCCAGCCTAGAAAGAGTAGAGAGGTGGAGGCAACAAATGGGCTTGCGTGTAAGCATAAGTACTTAGGCCAGTGTGGCGGGATACGGTCTCAAACGGTCCTACACGATCAACAGGGGGTCATTTGAATATTATTAGATATACTAAAAGGCTACATTATCATGTTTTGTAGAAGGAAGTTATGCAGTCAACCCTTGATATGTTAGGGGGTTATAGAGACTTTTTAATATGCCATGTCAGCGAAATTACCTTCAAAACAGCCTCGAGGGTTATTTAGATGGTTTTCAATAGTTTGAAGGGTAGAATAACTAGTTTCATAGATGAAGGGGTGAAGTAGACAACCCACCAATAGTTAAGGGGGTTAAACAGTCTTTTTCTACTAAATTATATGTTTGAAAGTAGATCCAGTTGCCTCTACTATTTATCTATAAGAACAGTGATAGGCCTAAGAACTGGTCAATGCAAGTGGAACAAACCGAGTATATATCAGTGAGTTTTTTTAAATACGACAAAGCTGATTACAAAATAATAATATTTGATACGAAATAATCAATTTTACATATAAAATTAGTTTTTGTGAAATATGACGTACCATATTTTCTGTTGCTTCTGTTTTCCTGCTAGCTTAGCTGAGCTTCCCCGGGTGCGCCAGCCTTGTCACGCCTAGCTTGCCTCCAGAGTTGAGTTTCACTCTGTATCCATAGTTATTAGGATTGGACGATTAATCGAATCGGCAAGATCATTGATTAATTGGTTCAATCGTGAAAACCAGTTTTTTTGAGAGAGAGAGAGAACAGGAGGGATCAGAGGCTGGTCCCTACTGGAGCATATATTAATTAAAAAATAGGAAACAAACAAAGGAGTACAAAGTGAGTACAAAAGGAGAACAGAGCAGGTTCAAGAAACAAAGAAGGTGAGGAAGAAAATAAGGCAGATTACACAAGATGCTCTAGCCATAAAACGATTGAAGGGAAGTACTTTTTCTTCACACGAAGGATAACTAGGCCGAAGACACTAAGGAAGCAAAGCTTGCAGCGGTCCAAACTGACAGCCTCATTTCTGAAGATAAGATTGTTTCTAACAGTCCAAACGCTCCAGCACATTAGTACTATGATCTCCATATGAAGCAAGATACACCAAGCTGTGTTTTGAAACTCTCAAGGATTTCCAAAGGTTGAGCTGCAGTAGGCACTTGAATACCTACCAGATTCCAGCAATCTCTGGCAAAGCTGCAGTGCAAGAAAAGATGCTCTACCATTTCCTCAAGAAGCCTCGTTGCACAAAATACAATCATATGACTGAAGATGCATATGTTTCCTTCTCAGAATATTCCTAGTACTACTAAGCCTGTTTTAATAGCTTTGGACGGTTTTAATTGAACCGGCCACAGATACTTTGAAGATTGAACCGGTGCAATATATATACATATATAGTTGATTTATAGAAAAAATAAACACATAAGTATTACAAAAATATTGTAGAAACCAAAACAACTGTAATTTGACATCAATGCTATATCTACAAAGGACCAGCAGGCATTTGAGTTGCAACTTCTAGTTAGGGAACAAATCGACACACACTTCAGTAGTTTAGTTTGAACTAGGAAATCTGAATACTATGTACTGACCGTTAGCCGTGCTTGTTGGCCTGACTGGTACTGCTCGGTGAAGAAGGGGAGGAGCCTAGGACCTAGGAGTAGCGCACGACGCCGGCCTTCTGTGTTCCTGCCTGCTGCCGTGCTGCGTGCTGCTTACTGGATAGTGGATCTCTAGCACTGGCGCACCGCCTGCTACCGGAAGGAAACGAGGTCCATGGAGGTGGAGGCGTGGCCCGTGGAGGCTGGAGCGCCGCGCCCCAGGCGGCCCGGTGGCCAGCGCCTGCGTGCTGCACGATGAATGGCGCGCCCACCCGGAAGCCGGCACCCGCTGCGGTGGGGACGGCGGACCCAGAAGCTAGAGCGGCGGCCGCCGCCTGGCACCCAGAGCCTCACCCGTCACGGACAGGGCCGCCGCGCCGCCGGCTGGCGCTAGGAGGAGGATGTTCGTTGTCGACGTACTCGACGAACGAGCTCGGGGAACTGGGAGCGTGGCTGCGTGGGATATGGAGAGGAGGAGCCTAGGAGCGCCAGAGCCCGAGGAGAAGGATTCGGGATTCCGGCGCTGCCGCCGCCCGCTCGGCCAAATGAAAAGAAAATTCCCTCCAGTGGATTCAGATCCTCTGCAGTCGCCTCGTCGACTTCAGTCTGCAGTCAGACGAATCCGTGCCAGGCTACCACACGAGAGGCAGAGGATCTGAATCCCCCTCCAGTGCGTGCCACTGAACCCCGGCTAAATGTGAAAAAAAAAATTGATTTTTTTTTTGCAGTTATACCCCTGCGTGGTGTTGGCTGCTCACAATCTTTCTTGATTCTCAGCTTATCGCATAGGTATTCCAGCTTTGTCTTTAACGGGCTTGCCAGCGTCTGGGCGGACGGGGCATCCAGATACCCATGCATGCACCGTTTCGTGCGCCCACCCGGGCCTAGCATGCCACCCTGAACATACCGCTGTCCTAGCCGGCGACGACCTTCTCCGGGTGGCGCGGTGCACGCCATGGCCATGACGGGTGGGCGCGGAGTGGGGCGCAGTGGGGGATACCCACAACGGCGAGCCGGAGTGGGGCGGCACGGCGAGGGATGGCCGTTGTGGCGAGGCGGAGTGGGGTAGTGTGGCGTAGGATGGGGGCGCGCGTGGGGAGATGGTCGTGGCGACGATGCAGAGTGGGGCGGGCGGATGGCCGATGGCGCAGAAAAGCACACGACGGGCAAGCGAGTCGGGAGATTTTTTGAGAAAGGGAGATAGGGACCTATCTCAAAAAAATCTCCACTCATTTTTTTTTTGTTTTCGTGCGACCCGGTAAGGAGGGAACCTAGACGGCGAGGAGCTTACCTCCGTGACGTCAGTTCTTTTAGAGGATTATTTTGCTCTAGCACTTAGGGCCTATTTGGGACAGCTCGTCCAGCTCTAGATCCACCAAAAACAGTTCACTCCACGAAAAATTACACAAACACTCTAGATCATCAAATCTTGATTTATCAAAATAGTGGATCTAGAGGCAAGATTCACTATTTCGATGGATCTCTGAAGAGACGCTCCACCAAACTTAATTTGGTACACCGCTGCCGCTGACTATACAAACATACCGCTTTGTCTATTTTTCTCTTTCTCCTCTTCTTCTCCCGTCGGACCGCGCAATCGCCCGTTTCTCCCACCGTGGCCAGCGACCATGCGCCCCTCCCCGGCCGGCGCGCCGCCACCGCCACCGCGCGCCCCTCCTGGTCCCGCGAGCTTGCCCAGACGGCGGCGTAGGCCTCCTGGCCGGGCGTTCCATTTGCCCTCGATCCCCGCTCTGTTCCTAGCCGGCGGCGTAGCCCAACCACGGCCGCCATGGCTGTTCCAACCCCGGCCCTGCGAGCTCGCCCAGCCGGTGAACTCCGGCGAGTCTGCGCCTGGAGAGCCCGGCGCCGGCTCCCGCGAACTCCGGCGACTCCGTGCCCGCCCACCACAGTAGCACCCAGAGAGCCCCGCGCCGGCGCAGATCCCCGCCCCGTGCTCCCCATTCGCTGGCTGAGAGCACAACTCCTCCGCCGGCTGCGTGCGCCAACCTCGTCGCCGCTGGGGTCCTGCCCGCCTTGGCCGGAGAGCTGTTTCGCCGTCCGCTGAGATCCACCGCGCCACGCCAAGCCTGCCGGAGGAAGAAGACCGGGAACTTTTTTTTTCCAGACACTGACGTGTGGGACCCATCCTATGGGCAATTTCGAAATACCTCTGCGTGGATTTGGAGCTGCTCTGTACCCAAACGGCTGCTGTTAGATTCACGGCACATCCCAGATTCATTGGTGGAGCTACTCTCCAATGAATTCTAGATCCAGATTCACTTTTAGAACGGTGGAGATATCTCAAACAGACCACCCTTAAGTTACCTCTAGATTTTTTCTAAAAAATTTACCTCTATATAATGCTTGAATCCCTACGGGCCCATTCGTTTCCCCCTGAATCACCGCCAGGAACGATTCCCGGCCGGAATCATT